TTTCATTTCATTTCATTTCATTTCATTTCATTTCATTTCATTTCATTTCATGTTTATTTGTTTTTGAGAGAGAGACAGAGCACAAGTGGAGGAGGGGCAGAGAGAAAGTGAGAGACAGAATTCCAAGCAGGCTCTAGGCTCTGAGCTGTCAGCACAGAGCCCAACACGGAGCTCGAACTCATGGACCATGAGGTCACAAGCTGAGCCGGAATCAAGAGTCAGATGCTCAACCAACCAAGCCACCCAGGCACCCCATCACTTTCATTTTAAAGCGATTTCATATGTTCCTTACATCTTTACACATTTTCACCCCTATTTCCATCTCATGCCTATTTAATCCTTACCTTTCCTTCAATTTCAAATAATACTTTATCCACATGGTTCCTCCCATGTGCCTCACCTTGTCCATCTTTATTTAGGCGTCCTGTGTTGGGTGTGCATCCATGGTCATCTGCAGTTGCTTCTATCGGCACCTATGAGAATAACTGGTTAATTCCTATTTGCTCTTAAAATTTACTTCAGGTGAATTTTCTATATTTTGCTATTTTTTTAATTTGCTTTCTAACCAGCAAATGAGTTTCTTAGGGCCATTACTGATTCTTTTATCTCTGTATTTCGAGATGATTCTTAACACTTCATAAATATAATGGTGGAAAAAAGGAAAGGGGAAGAGGGGAGGGAGGAGGAGAAAAAAGAGAAGGAAAAGAAAAAAAGAAGGAGGGAAGATGGAGGAGAGGAGAGGAAGAAAGAAGGAAAGGAATTTTGGGGAGCGAGAACTGTAGCCCAGAAAATTTTCTTGTCACTTAGGAAAAAACTGATGACAATAAAGGTCATCTTCTTCTTAAGCAGTACTTTTCCTTCTCTGCCACAATGATTATGCAGTAAACATTTCTAAAAGAGCATCACTTTCAGTGATTGCAAACTTTCAAGATATATATAAAATATGTATGTAATGATCTCTCTCTATATATCTAATAATAATATCTAATGAATAACTATGATTGTTAGGCCTCTGTTTTAAGAAAAGTCATTTGATAGAGCCATATCTTTTTTTAATAAGAGAAGTAGAAATTATTCTGAATATCTGTGTTTACTACATTCTAAGTGGGAGACAATTCAGTAATTCTGAAAAGTATCAGTGAAAACAAGTAAGGATTATATGTGGGCAAGTCACTACTTAGGCAAATCCTCTTGTAATACAAAGACTCACATCCTCATTACCTGTTCATATTGAATAAATTTTAGATATCAAACCGAAGTAAGTTCCACAGTCCATCTCTACTCTTGTCTTTTAAGTCCTCTTTCTTCAGATGAACTTTTGAAGACACGTGCTATTTGTTTTCATTAAGACTTTGTTTTATTTTTTATTTTACTTTTTATTATTTTTTGTTTTTTAAAAATATTTATTTATTTATTTTTGGGGGGGGAATCACAAGCAGGGGAGGGGCAGAGAGAGGGAGAAAGAATCCTAAGCTCAGAGCCTGACGTAGGGCTCCATCTCATGAACCATGAGATCATGGCCTGAGCCAAAATCAAGAGTCAGATGCTTAACTGACTGAGCCACCCAGGTGCCCCAAGACTTTGTTTTTCTAGAGCAGTGTTATGTTTGCAGCAGAACTGAGGGTATGGTAGGGAGATTTCTCAAGTACCCCCACCCCCTCATATGTGTAGCCTCCTCCCCCTTAGTAACATCTCCCACCAGAGCGTTCCTTTTGTTGCCATTGATGGACCTATGTCTACACATTACAATTACCCACCGTGTGCGGTCCTACCTGTTTATATTCTACATGTTTATAACTGAGGCAGACTTTTCAATCTCTGCATTAGTAGTTTACCTTTACTACATCTTATCGGTCAACTGTAACCTTAAAGCTTATCACTGCTTATGCTTAATTTTGGTGTGTGTGTGTGTGTGTGTGTGTGTGTGTGTGTGTGTGTGTGTGTGTCTTTGGTATCTGTAGTGGTGTCCTGTAGTATTTACACATTCCTTGAAAGCAGAAATTATATGTTCTTCCCTCTGACTCTACCTTTGGTGTTCCTACCTCATTCCTCGTATATACAGGCTACTTAAATTAGCCATAAACAGAGAAAGATTTTATTTTATAGAAGAAAAGGTTGAAGGCTTGAAGGGCAAAATCTTTATGGTGTGTTAGTTAGAACCTGGAACTCAAATTTGGGACCCCTGTCTCACATCAATTCTGATGCCTCTGCAGGAGGTCTCCTCTATTAATTAGCTCTATTAATTAGCTCCTCTATTAGGTAGCGGTTGTCCTCTGTGAAATAGCCTAGAACACTTACAAAATTGTATTAATGTGAGGCTGTAAGTATGTAATGTAAACATTTCCCTTCAAGTTACTTCAAGGAAATGTCTTCACTCTACCTCATGGTAAGAGATGTAAGAAATGATTAAAGGCAATATCTCTTGATGATCAGATAGCATTGCAAAAATAATTCATCTATTACATTTCTCTTGCCAGGGCAGCTTGATTTTTTTTTCCTATACTATAATTAGGATTCTTTTCCTGACCCATTGGTGAGCATTATGGTGATGATGATGATAATAATGGCACTACCATATTATATGCTTCAGAGCTTTATGCATTTACCAGCACATTTTGCTCCTTATCACACTGATCTTTACCATACTCAGAAAGACAGAATATATACAAATATAATGTGCCACAAGGACAAGAGGGGCTGAGAACACGGAATCCCCTTGTTGCCCACTTACCTTTTGTTGCTACTTTACCCAAGGTATTTCTAGAAATATAATTTCTATACAGTTATTGTGGAAGATCTTACATTTTCACTCAGTCTTATGGACAAGCTGCTGTTTTTTTCCCTGGGAATTTTAAGTCACGATATTGGTTATAGTTTCTTTAAAACAGAGACCTGACCCTTAGAGGTAACAAGCTAGAATCAAATACTTTATAAGACTTGACAAGTCAGCATTAAATAGGGGTTGTACAATCCTATGTTCGTTTCTTTCATGAAATACAGCGTTGAGGTGTGGAAAGCTCATAAATCAATATTTCTGCCCTATCCTTACCCACTCTCCTTTGCTACTCCTTTTACTGTTGACCTTGAAGGCACCAGAGTCCTATGAAAAGCTCTTGTCATCGTCACCTGGCTCTAAAGAGACTCCACCTGATTTTTGCCTTTCAAAACAGAGTTTGTAAGCATCAGCAAAACTCTTAACTCTGGACCTGAAGATAGAGGTGGTTATTCACTGTCTTCAGACTCACTTGATGATGGCTTCAGTACGTGTATGATGGTGAGGAGTAGGAGTGCTTAACTGTGTGGTTTGGTTGATTGAGTTATTTCTCCACAAGGTCTTTCCATGTTAGCGTTCTAAAGTCTGAAGTGTAAATATTTTCATTACTGAAGACTCTGCAGGTTTGTGATTATGGCAACAGTGTTTTATTCTTTGTCCTTCAGTTACTTTTTGAGAGTCTGCTAATCCCAATTTACGTACTGGTGAGTCAGGGAGAAATCTGGTTCTTTTATGGAAATGACTTAGGCTTCATACCAAATAGCCAGAAAAGAGTGAAATAGTCTGCTTGTTATTTTTCTCAAGGGTATAATAGCATGATAAAAACTTTGGCATTTCAGCTGCAAAATTTCATTTAGAAAATGTGATTCCCTAAACCAGGCTAATCCAATCTTGACAATATCTGAAGAATGAGTGGTTTAGACTGGGCTGTTTAGGAAAAATGTTTCCGCTGGGTCTATTTATTGTACTTCATTGACTTTCTGTCTTGCCAAGTCATTTGGAATCTAACTATCCAGGAGATGATTCTCTTGACTAAAGAAAAAATATATATATATATATATATATATATATATATATATATATATATAATATCACATTCTACTTCTTATAACAATTGATTTGCTTATAATTAGCAAAAGTAAGCTGAAGACTTAAATGGGCGCTAAAGCTACAATATTAACAATTTCCATATTGAGCAAATGTAGAAAGAAAACACAATTTAAACTACCATTTTTTAAATGTGGAGTTTCAGCATTCCTTACAGCAGTTAATACATGTTCTGAAGTTCCATTTTGAAAAACAAATAACATGAATCAACTACGACTTGGCTCCATGATCTGAAATAATGATCTCAGGTAGGAAATCAGTATTTCTATTCAGCCAGTTCAAAAGGTAATTTTTCAATGTGTTATTGTAATGGAAACTTACAGCCTACTTATGATGAAAAATAACTTCAGAGTCTGATAAACTGTGTTGCAGTGTCAACTCTGCTTCTTGTTATCTCTGCAGTTTTAGGGTGTTTAAACCCTTTGAGTCTTGGTTTCTTCCATCATTTAAAAAAAAAGCACTATTTCTAATTTCCAAGGATTTCCTATCATTTCAAGGTTGGAGCTTTGTGACATTTATTTGTTGGGTTTCTAACTGTAATTTAGAAGTGTAATTTTCTGCGTTCCCCAGGGTAAATTCACATCGAGAGTATTGTATCCCTGTTTCAGGAGGAAGATCTAAGAAGAACTTACCTTTGGATGAACTATTTTCAACTATGGCCTCTTAGGAGACTGTGGTCTCCGCCTGCTCTAATCCCAGTAAGGAGAACACCTGTCCCCCAGGTGTTGCTAACTGCTCATTGTCTTTTCCACAGGACCAGGCTGCAGCCAGGGCCCAGGTAAGAACACATTTTTTTTTCTTTTAGCTTCTTAACTTACCCATCCTGCCTCCCTCAGTCTCTTTGTACTAACAGCACCCCCTCATTCCATTCCTCTCAAAGCGGTGTGTCAAGCCCTGCTTCTCACATCCTAAGCAATATGTCATTAAAATTGATGAAAAAAAAAATACATATATGTTGTTATGTTATGTGTTATGGGAGCCCTCTGCTTTGGTAGATAATGTAGCCAGTTCTGAATTTGAATTCTCGTTCTTTAAGTCGGTGGGTATCTAATTTTGGGTAGATTTATTAGATTTATTAATCTCTTGAAGTTTATTTATCCTGAAGGAGGTAAAATAATTTTGACTGGGCGGCCACCACTGATTTTGACAACATAAGACTCAGCAGATGTTAAGTTCTTTCTCTTTGTGTCCATTGCTTTCTATTCCTTCTGCCCTGATCTTTGCTTTGTTCTAGTTTGCCTTGATGTTTATCCTTTTTTACCCTTTATTTTTTCATGGTATTTTTTGGAATACTTTTCCTGTCTGTGAGGCCAGGGAGTTGCCATAGGAGCTGACTGTGGGAGCATCTCTTATTTAGGATTCGTGGTATAATGGACTAAGTAATGTGTAGTGTTAAAATTGAAGGCATTGGGAAAATAATATTGGGTCATGTAAATCCAACGAATATAAAGAATCAAGCCCTGAAATTGGGATTAAGAAACACTGGATCCAGCAGGCAAATGGGGATACCAATTGGAAAGAAAGACCAAAGAAGAGGCTTCTGCTCTGTGTTAAGCTCGACTTGCTCTGGGAGTCATCTTACAGACTTGGGTTCTTTCCAAAGGTTCACGGACATTAGGAAAACTAAATCTTCTGATGGTCTGAGGTGAATACAGTAATTGCCTGGGGCAAGCTTTATCAGCAGCTGGGGAGGACAAAAATGACCTGACTCAGTGAGAGGTTATTATAGAACAAAAGAATGCTAAGGATTAATGTCAATAGCAAGTAGAGGTATAGGACTTCAAGAAGGCAGAGCAATGGTAGTGAAATACTAGTTAAATACCAGTGAAAATGAAAGAATGGTAGAAATCTTGGTAACCACTGCCCTACTAGATCAGTCCCAGGGGAAGGAGCATGTTGGCATCAGCCCTGAGCTGTATGTGAGCATATTCTCAGTAATTTTTATAAAGAACCACCAAAGAATGCAAGGTTAATTGGAAATGTCAGCAGTTTTTAAATTACTTCATCTTATTTTGTTTTATATGAGTTCTGAAATCCATAGCAACTTCTTCTAGTGGCCACGGTTTTAATTTTTAATGTTTGTCTCTAAAGTATCCTAATAGATAACATTATGGAACTTCAGAATCAAACTCTCTGCCTCTACACTTGGCCTCCGTGCTCAGCTCTGCTTTTTGAGGACTGCATGTCTCAGCTGTGTGTGAGAGGCACAGAAGGCACATTTGTGTATCAGAGAATACATTTTTTTTAATGTAACCTGGGTACTGTGCTATGACACTGATGTTTATTATCTTACCAGATGTTCACTATTATAAAATAAATAGCTGACCGTGTTTCAAATCTACATCTGTTTAATTCCAAATCCTGGGCAGTGGTATTCCAGGTAGGTAATTTGAGGGTGGATCATTTTAAAAATACTGTAATATTCATCTCCCTACCCAAAGTCAGGTAAATTGAGGTCTTTTCAATCACCCTTACCAAAAATATCAATAAAGGCGATTTTAGAAATTTTGCTATTTTTATGGATCTCTAACATACCATCTAAATAAAAACATAAGCTAGGGAGGGAAGATGGCGGCGTAGGAGGACGCTGGGCTCACCGCGCGTCCTGCTGATCACTTAGATTCCACCTACACCTGCCTAAATAACCCAGAAAACCACCCGAGGATTAGCAGAACAGAGTCGCCGGAGCCAAGCGCGGACGAGAGGCCCACGGAAGAGGGTAGGAAGGGCGGCGAGGCGGTGCGCGCTCCACGGACTGGCGGGAGGGAGCCGGGGCGGAGGGGCGGCTCGCCGGCCAAGCAGAGCCCCCGAGTCTGGCTTGCAAAAAAGCAGAGGGGCCTGACGGACTGTGTTCCGACAGCAAGCGCGACTTAGCATCTGGGAGGTCATAAGTTAACAGCTCTGCTCAGAAAGCGGGAAGGCTGGAGGACAAAGGGAAGGAAAGCTGCTGAGCCCCCGGACGACAGAGCTCAGTTTGGTGGGGAACAAAGGCGCTCGCCAGCGCCATCTCCCCCACCCATCCCCCAGCCAAAATCCCAAAGAGAACCAGTTCCTGCTCGCTCTGCGCAAACACCCAACTCTGCGCTTCTGCGGAACCAAACCTCCGGCAGCGGATCTGACTCCCTGCTGCTGCCACAGGGCCCCTCCTGAAGTGGATCACCTAAGGAGAAGCAAGCTAAGCCTGCCCCTCCTGCCCCTGTGCACCTTGCCTACCCACCCCAGCTAAGACGCCAGATCCCCAGCATCACAAGCCTGGCAGTGTGCAAGTAGCCCAGACAGGCCACCCCACCCCACAGTGAACCCCGCCCCTAGGAGAGGGGAAGAGAAGGCACGCACCAGTCTGACTGTGGCCCCAGCGGTGGGCTGGGGGCAGACATCAGGTCTGACTGCGGCTCCGCCCACCAACTCTAGTTATACACCACAGCACAGGGGAAGTGCCCTGCAGGTCCTCACCACGCCAGGGACTATCCAAAATGACCAAGCGGAAGAATTCCCCTCAGAAGAATCTCCAGGAAATAACAACAGCTAATGAGCTGATCAAAAAGGATTTAAATAATATAACAGAAAGTGAATTTAGAATAATAGTCATAAAATTAATCGCTGGGCTTGAAACCAGTATAGCTGACAGCAGAGAATCTCTTGCTACAGAGATCAAGGGACTAAGGAACAGTCACGAGGAGCTGAAAACGCTTTAAATGAAATGCATAACAAAATGGAAACCACCACAGCTCGGATTGAAGAGGCAGAGGAGAGAATAGGTGAACTAGAAGATAAAGTTATGGAAAAAGAGGAAGCTGAGAAAAAGAGAGATAAAAAAATCCAGGAGTATGAGCGGAAAATTAGAGAACTAAGTGATACACTAAAAAGAAATAATATACGCATAATTGGTATCCCAGAGGAGGAAGAGAGAGGGAAAGGTGCTGAAGGGGTACTTGAAGAAATAATAGCTGAGAACTTCCCTGAACTGGGGAAGGAAAAAGGCATTGAAATCCAAGAGGCACAGAGAACTCCCTTCAGACGTAACTTGAATCGATCTTCTGCACGACATATCATAGTGAAACTGGCAAAATACAAGGATAAAGAGAAAATTCTGAAAGCAGCAAGGGGTAAACGTGCCCTCACATATAAAGGGAGACCTATAAGACTCGTGACTGATCTCTCTTTTGAAACTTGGCAGGCCAGAAAGAGTTGGCACGAGATTTTCAGTGTGCTAGACAGAAAAAATATGCAGCCGAGAATCCTTTATCCAGCAAGACTGTCATTTAGAATAGAAGGAGAGATAAAGGTCTTCCCAAACAAACAAAAACTGAAGGAATTTGTCACCACTAAACCAGCCCTACAAGAGATCCTAAGGGGGACCCTGTGAGACAAAGTACCAGAGACATCACTACAAGCATAAAACATACAGACATCACAATGACTCTAAACCCATATCTTTCTATAATAACACTGAATGTAAATTGATTAAATGCGCCAACCAAAAGACATAGGGTATCAGAATGGATAAAAAAACAAGACCCATCTATTTGCTGTCTACAAGAGACTCATTTTAGACCTGAGGACACCTTTAGATTGAGAGTGAGGGGATGGAGAACTATTTATCATGCTACTGGAAGCCAAAAGAAAGCTGGAGTAGCCATACTTATATCAGACAAACTAGACTTTCAATTAAAGGCTGTAACAAGAGATGAAGAAGGACATTATATAATAGTGACAGGGTCTATCCATCAGGAAGAGCTAACAATTATAAATGTCTATGCGCCCAATACTGGAGCGCCCAAATATATAAAACAATTACTCATAAACACAAGCAACCTTATTGATAAGAATGTGGTAATGCAGGGGACTTTAACACCCCACTTACAGAAATGGATAGATCATCTAGACACACGGTCAATAAAGAAACAAGGGCCCTGAATGAGACATTGGATCAGATGGACTTGACAGATAGATTTAGAACTCTGCATCCCAAAGCAACAGAATATACTTTCTTCTCGAGTGCACATGGAACATTCTCCAAGATAGATCATATACTGGGTCACAAAACAGCCCTTCATAAGTTTACAAGAATTGAAATCATACCATGCATACTTTCAGACCATAATGCTATGAAGCTTGAAATCAACCACAGAAAAAAGTCTGGAAAACCTCCAAAAGCATGGAGGTTAAAGAACACCCTACTAACGAATGAGTGGGTCAACCAGGCAATTCGAGAAGAAATTAAAAAATATATGGAAACAAACGAAAATGAAAATACAACAATCCAAAGGCTTTGGGATGCAGCGAAGGCAGTCCTGAGAGGAAAATACATTGCAATCCAGGCCTATCTCAAGAAACAAGAAAAATCCCAAATACAAAATCTAACAGCACACCTAAAGGAACTAGAAGCAGAACAGCAAAGGCAGCCTCAACCCAGCAGAAGAAGAGAAATAATAAAGATCAGAGCAGAAATAAACAATATAGAATCTAAAAAAACTGTAGAGCAGATCAACGAAACCAAGAGTTGGTTTTTTGAAAAAATAAACAAAATTGACAAACCTCTAGCCAGGCTTCTCAAAAAGAAACGGGAGATGACCCAAATAGATAAAATCATGAATGAAAATGGAATTATTACAACCAATCCCTCAGAGATACAAACAATTATCAGGGAATACTATGAAAAATTATATGCCAACAAATTGGACAACCTGGAAGAAATGGACAAATTCCTGAACACCCACACTCTTCCAAAACTCAATCAGGAGGAAATAGAAAGCTTGAACAGACCCATCACCAGCG